TCTTAAGCGGGGAAGAATGTAAAGCCCCGGAAAATTTTGTTTAGTAATTTAAGACTTCGTGGTGCCAAGGTAGGCTAAATATTTTATCTTGCGTACAAATGAGGATTAAGGATATTATGGATATAAATTGGATATATTAATAAATGTATAAGTCATATTAGAAGTGAATTGGGGTCTAAGGAGAGGCCTAAGTCTAAGCCAAGTTATAAAATTTCATAATAGACGAAAGTTGCAAATGAGTGCGCACAAGACCTCATTTTGGACAATTATATCTCAGGTTATATAAGGATTTGTGTGATGCACAACCTATCAAATAAAAGGTCTTTGAGACTAGTTTCCAACGCTTCAAACCGTTCATAGTTCGGACATTCCTACACAACGTTGTGACCAAATTACCAAAGAAGCGCAGAAATTTGAACTACCGTGGCGCCCCATGCGGCGCCCGGCGCGCCCGCGCCAGTAGTAATTCCAGTATGGTTCGAAATTTTATTTCCAGACACATTTTGCACAGACGCCCTCTGCCCCCGACGCCCCACGCGGCGCGGCAGTACAAAAAAAAGGGTACCGTAGAGTACCATCACCCATGCCTATCCTAACGATTTAATTCAGACCATAACCAGTATTTGAAGTCATGCTATATATTTGCTCCTCTGAGTGAGGATGCTTGTTTGAGCCTTAACTGCTATTTGTTTTTCCCCTAATTTCTTATGTGTTTTGTTTGTCGCCTAGATTTTTTATCCTTTTAAAACTCTGAAAAGCCCCAACCCCCTCCCCTTTAGGATTAGTAGTCTCAAATGCCTCCGGGACTGATAGGATTGGGATGGGTAATAGCATGCAATAAGAAACGATACTATTCTGCGCTTTAATACCTTAACAGGGTGGGAAGGGTAGATATGGATATGATGACCGGTGCGCTAATACCACGTGTAGACCCTCTTTTGAGGAGTGATTACCGGGTATTGCATTGATATAATTCATATTATTTGTAAACCTAGGACCCCCTTTCCTTTATTTGTTTATTTTATTCTCAAACTATTTCTTTAAAATTTCTGCTTTCTTTACTTTCGTCAAGCTCTCAACTTGCTTGCAATATTATGTGAAAACCCCCCTCTACTCGAGACTTCTATTTGCTTACTTGTTATTCAAAGTCACAATTGTAACATGGCCGGGAACCATACTAGTGGATCTTGGGGGGTGCCTAACACCTTCCCCTCGAGATAATTTCTAGCCCTTACCCGAACTCTAGTTTTCCAACTTGAACTCTTCTTTAGTGTCCTAATTCACTTTAATCATTACGTGGAGACTCTTCAACCCAAAAAACCCAATTCCCAAGAGGGAACGAGTTGTCCTCTTAAATGTCATAAACCCGATTTCGCCTTAGAAAAAGGGGGCGCGACAGAGCTGAACAAGGAATCTAAGATGTACGTGGCTAAAGGGACCTATTTGGTACGGGGGCCAGTAATTTCACCAAGGCTGAATGAGCCCATGGTTATTGGCCACGCACTACAGAGGCCGATGACAGACCCTACGGCCGTCCTATGGAATTGCAACAAGGCGGTAGTAACCTACAGGGGAAAAGAGATTTTGGGAAAAGCAAATGAAACTAACCCAGCTGAGAAATACTTTAATGTTGGAGAAGTGAACAATGCCAAACAGAAATGCTTCCTGATCAAAAAACCAGTTAGTGCCGAAGAAGCAGAAGAATTCTTCCGAAAAATGAAAACTGCGGACTATGAGATAATTGACCAACTCCGAAAGTCACCTGCTCAGGTCTCTTTATTGTCTCCACTAATAAGCTCAACTGAGCATCAAAAAGTGTTGATATAAATCCTCAATGAAGCTTATGTCCCGATTGAAACCACTGTGGAACAACTGGAAAGGATGGCGGAAAGATTCTTCGCAATCAATCAGATTTCCTTTAGCAAGAATGATTTTCCCCCGGAGGGGGCCGCCCATAACAAAGCCCTCCATCTGACAGTTAAATGTGAGGCATACTACGTAAATAGAGTCATGCTGGATGACGGATTCGGAGTTGATATCTGCCCTCTCTCAACCTTGCAAAGAATGGAGATTGAGACTGAGAGAATCAGACCTAACAATGTCTGTGTGCGTGCTTTTGAGGAATTAAGAGAGATACCATAGGTGAGATCAATTTGATTTTGACTATTGGACCTGTGGATTTCGAGGTGACCTTTCAGGTCCTAGACATGGACACTTCTTATAATTTCCTCTTGGGAAGACCTTGGATCTACGCAGCAGGGGACGTACCTTCCACTCTCCACCAGATGGTGAAATTTGAATATGAAGAACATGAAATTGTGGTTCATGGAGAAGACGAGTAGTCGATTTACCGGGACCCATCAGTCCCATGTCTCGAAGCTAGGGAATGTAGTGAGCATATAGTTTATCAAACTTTCGAGGTGGTGGTCGCAGATTAATATGAGGAGGGAAGCCCTTGTCCTCAGCCTTTTCTATCAAATGTGTCCATCATGGTCGCTGCTAAAATGATCAAGCATGGTTATAAGCCTGGAAAGGGACTCAGGGCATCATTGCAAGGTATCACGGAACCTATCACCCTACCTGCCAGCAAGAAGTTCTTCGGTGTGGGTTTTCGTGCCATAGAAGCTGATGTGACATGGGCAAATAAACGAAAGAGCAATGGTAGGGTGTTACCTCAGCCGGTTCCGCATCTCTATAGAACATTCGTCAGGCCCAAGTACAACGAAGAAGAAGAAGATGAGACCTTCACGACCGAGAAATTGAGGACATATGTGGAGCCATGAGGCAAATATTGTACGAAACCCACATGGTTCAGCCGGGAGAAGGCTCGAGCACTGCTGAGGTGTTGTACATGGGGCCCAATGCCAAGTTGCAAAACTGGAAGGCTACTCCATTCCCAATCAGGCAGGAATCCTGGTAGTCCAGCCCTGCCACCTTTTCTACATCACGAGTTATTTCAGGGTGTAACTCGGATGTTTCTTTTAGTTTCCTATCTTTTAATTCCTATGTAAACCCTGTTATCTTCAAACTTCAATGAAATGAAATTAATATTTCATCGTTAATCTCTCTTTATTCTTTCTAATTTTTGTTACTTTTTCTTATTACTTCTTTCAGTTCTAATAATACGGCTTTAAATAACATGACATGCTTGCGGACTTCATGCCAGATCCAAACACGTTATCTCATTGTGAAATAATGAATCAAGAACCGGAATATGATGAAGAAGAGGCTTTTAGGGAAATAAATCGAGAATTGGAATAATTTGAGAATAAACCTAAGCCGAATTTAAATGAAACCGATCCAGTTAATTTGGGTAGTTCTAAAGAAGTTCAAGAAACAAAAATAAGCATTCACACAGATGAAAGAACCAGGGACGCATTGATCCAACTTTTATTTGAATTCAAAGATGTGTTTTCTTGGTCCTACGATGACATGCCAGGATTAAGTGTCGATTTGGTGGTCCACAAGTTTCCGACTTACCCCGATTATCCCCCTGTCCAGCAAAAGCAAAGGAAGTTCAAAACTGATATCAGTGACAAGATCAAAGAAGAGGTCACCAAACAGTTGAAGGTAAGGGTGATCCCAGTGGTCCGATACACCACTTGGCTAGATAATGTGGTTCCCGTACCAAAGAAAGATGGGAAAACCCGGGTGTGTGTTGACTACCAAGATCTGAACAAAGAAAGTCCCAACGACAATTTCCCTTTGCCAACATCCACATCCTTGTCGATAACTGCGCCAAACACAAGATACAGTCTTTCGTGGATTGTTATCCAGGATATCATTAGGTGTTGATGGATGAAGAAGATGCGGAAAAGACAGCCTTCACCACACCCTGGGGCATCTATTGTTACAGGGTCATGACTTTTGGTTTGAAGAATGCCGGGGCAACTTATATGAGGGCCATGACTACCATATTTCATGACATGATACCCCAAGAAATCAAGGTGTATGTGGACGATGTGATTATCAAATCCAGAACGCAGGATGACCATGTTCAGGACCTGAGAAAGTTCTTTGAGCGGCTGCGTAAGTATGATTTGAAGCTAAATTCGGCTAAATGTGCGTTTAGGGTTCCGTCTGGAAAACTCTTGGGATTTATAGTCAGTCGGAGGGGCATCGAGCTAGACCCAACAAAGATAAAGTCTATTCGGGATTTGCCTCCTCCAAGAACCAAGAAAGAGGTTATGAGCCTGCTGGGAAGGTTGAACTACATTAGCCAATTCATTGCTCAGTTGACTTCCACATGTGAGCCCATATTCAAGCTATTGAAGAAAGATGCGGCGATTAAATGGACAGATGAGTGTTAGGAAGCCTTCAATAAAATCAAAGAATATCTATCAAATCTGTCAGTCTTGGTACCACCCGAACTGGGGAGGCCTCTATTTTTGTACCTGACAGTCTTGGAGAATTCTTTTGGATGTGTCCTCGGGCAACATGATGTGACCGGTAGGAGAGAGCAGGAAATCTATTATTTGAGCAAAAAGTTCACAAGTTATGAAGTTAGATATACATTGTTGGAAAGGACTTGATACGCCCTAACTTGGGTCGCTCAGAAGCTTAGGCATACCTTTTGGCCTATACCACTTACCTCATCACCAGGCTGGATCCTTTAAAGTATATATTTCAAAAGCCTATGCCCATAGGGAGGTTAGCAAAATGGCATATCCTGCTCACTGAATTTGACATAGTCTATGTCACCCGCACGATAATAAAAGCCCAGGCTCTAGCAGATCACCTAGCTGAAAAACCCTGTCGATGAGGAATATCAGCCTTTTAGTACTTACTTCCCGGATGAGGAGGTTAATTCAGTTGAGGTAACATCAGAACACACCAATGCTTGGAAAATATTCTTCGACGGAGTTGTGAACGCAAAAGGCATCAGAATTAGGGCAATCTTGATCTCACCCACTGGTCAGCACTATCCATCCACAACCCAGCTTCGGTTTTTCTGCACAAACAACACTACTGAGTATGAAGCCTGCATTATGGGTATGAATATGGCAATCAACCAAGATGTGGAAAAATTGTTGATCATGGGAAATTCAGACTTGATTATCCGACAAGCTCAGGGTGAATGGGATACTCGGGATGTCAAGATTATTCCCTACAGACAACATGTGGAAGATCTTAGCAAGTGGTTCAAGTCAGTTGAGTTCAGTTACATTCTTCGTTTTCACAATGAGTTAGCCGATGCAGTCGCTACTTTGGCCTTGATGTTGCCTTATCCAGGCAATCTCCATATTGACCCGTTAGAAATCCAAATCCGAGAAAGGCATGGTTACTGCAATACAGTCGAGGTGGAACCAAATGTTCAGCCATTGTATCATGATATCAAGAGATTTCTGAAAACGAAAGAATATCCCGAGCAAGCCAATGAAGATCAAAAGAGAACCATTAGAAGGCTTGTCGGCGGTTTCTTCTTGAGCGGCGAGGTCTTATATATAAGGACTCCAGATCTCAACTTGCTAAGATGTGTGGATGCTGAAGAGGCAAGAAGAATCATGCATGATGTGCACGCAGGGGTGATTGGACCCTACATGAATGGGTATGTTTTGGTAAAGAAAGTCCTTCGAGCGGGCTATTACTGGATGACTATGGAAAAGTATTGCTTCAGTTTCGTCCGGAAATGTCATCAGTGTTAGGTGCATGACGATCTGATTCATGTACCACCTATAGAGCTGCATCCCATGTCAGTACCGTGGCCGTTTGTTGCCTGGGTATGGACGTCATTGGGCTGATCGACCCAAAAGCTTTAAATGAGCATAGATTCATATTGGTCGCCATCGACTACTTCACAAAGTGGGTTGAAGCAATTACCCTCAAAGCTGTCACCAAGAAAGCTGTGGTAGAGTTCGTTCACTCCAATATCATATGCCGTTTTGGTATTCCTGCAACTATCATTACAGACAATGCTGCGAACTTGAATAGTCATTTGATGAGGGAGATATGTGAGCAGTTTAAGATCACGCATCGAAATTCTACCCCTTATCGGTCCAAAGATAATGGTGCCGTTAAAGTAGCAAACAAGAACATCAAGAAGATTCTGAGAAAGATGATCCAAAGTTCCAGGCAATGGCATGAAAAGTTGCCACTTGCATTATTGGGATATCGCACAACTGTGCGCACATCAGTTGGAGCAACCCCATATCTATTGGTTTATGGCACTGAAGTAGTGATACCCGCAGAAGTTGAAATCCCTTCTCTACGGATCATTGTTGAAGCTGAAATTGAGGACAGTGAGTGGGTCAAAACCCGTCTGGAACAGTTAACCCTGATCGATGAAAAGCGAATGGCCGCATTCTGCCATGGGCAGTTGTATCAACAAAGAATGGCCCGTACCTACAACAAGAAAGTGTGACCTAGAAACTTTGAAGTGGGGCAACTCGTTTTGAGGCGTATTCTCCCTCACCACCAGGAAGCAAAAGGAAAGTTCGCTCCTAGCTGGTGTTAATACCCAATTTTTCCCTGTATATTTTTTTATAAATGCAAAATACTTTCAAAATAGCATATTTATGCATATATAAGTGTGTCCAATTGTTTTAGTATTTTTCCTAATTTTGTAAAGATTTTTAAATCAATTTATTGCCCTATTTTAGCAGTACAAAAACCAATAATTATTCCTCAAGTTATCATTTTAGATTAACTTATTTTATTCTCATATTTATACCAAAATTGATCCCAATATTTTTAATTTAATATTTGTGTATTATTAATTAATTTAGTACCTTTAATTTGTTTCCAGAAATCATTTTGCTATTTTTTATAAAAATAAAGAGGGGAAAATGACTATTTAATATTAGCCCCACCTATTTAAATTTTAGCCCAAATCGACCCCCCCAATTAACCCCAATTTCAATTTCAAATGGACCAGCACAATTCCTAAACTACCCTCCCCTGATCAAATTAAGTTCAACCTGCCCGGCCCCCCATTAAATCCAGACCGTTGATCAAAATGATCAACGGCCACAATCCCTCCTTTCCTTTTTTAATCCACCAACACCCCTTAACCCTAAATCATTTCACCTAACCAGCCACCTCTGAAACCCTCCCTTCTCTAAAACACTCTCGAACCTTCTCTAACCCTAGCCGCCTCCCATCACTTCTACCTTGAAACCCACCGAGATCCATGGCTTCTCAGGCTATGGAAGTCTTATACCCATCTCCTCTTGCTCCCACGCACCTGATACCTGAAGATTCGAGGCCTAACCATGAAGGGTTGAACACATACCTCTGTCGATTCGAGGTTCCAGGGTCATCTCCGGCCTTGCTCCGGCATACCAAGGTTATCTAAGCCTGTTTCTGACCTTTCCGACTCAGATCTGTGGCCTTTCAAAGCCTTTCTCACTTCTAGAGTTCTTCTGAAGCCCTAACCCTTCGAGATTTTTCTCCGATTTCTTTAGATCCATTGTGTATCTGCCCCTACTGTGCTCCTATGTTTTTTATCTACCACGTTCTCGTATGTTCTCCTACTGTGTTCTGTTC